GAATTAATTATGCTATAATTACAAATTATTTTTTGAAGATTTATATTACAAATAATAATATTAAATTATTAATTATTAATAATGTTGTCACCTGATAGATGACTTACCACTGATAAGGGTAAAACAATATATTTAAAAATATCAAATAGCAAAAGAAGGTAAAAGATAGAAAAGTAGATAATAAAAAAAAATACAAATTGCGGGGGGTGGGGGTAAATACATATACAAAGTTAAGATAAAAGAAGAGAAGAGTTAGCAATGGGGGTAAGGTGGGAGGGAGTATTGTTTGTGACGAATCCTTGGCTAGCCATAGATATCATCCGCCATTGGTGTTTACGGTACGCGTTAAACCCCTCGCATCGAGCATTAACTCGATCCCGCACCGAAGCCGCACATCGAGGGGTCTAAAGCCCCCTAATCGTTACACCCTTTCTCTTTCTTTCTCACTCTCTCTCTCTCTCTCTCTCTCTTTACAAACCACCCACTCCCCTCTACAACCTCTTTTACCGATAAACTTGTACATGGGATGGACGTACACGTGTATATGCACACTACTAACAACTATCTCTATCTTTCTCTATCTTTCTCTCTTTCTCTTTCTCTTTCTCTCTCTCTTTCTCTCTCACTCTTCCGTTTGATTCCGGAAAATCGTCTCTACACGTTTCGTGTTAGCCGCAACGATTTATCTGCCGTACTCTGACGTAACCGTAATTGCTTCTTTCGATGGTGGTTGGGGGGGAGAGGGGGTAGAGGTTAGAGGGGGAGGCTGGGGGATCGAGATTATGCGAAATTGAGTCGATTGTAGGATCGATGGTTTAACGTGTCGATCAAATATGAAAATGAATCTCGTCGTTCGTTTTCATATACTCGTTTATTACTACTTGTTTTTTTGTTGTTGTTGTTGTTGTTGTATTTTTAATTTATTTATTTTGTTTTTAGGAGAGAGAGGGGGTGGGGATTTCTTCTATCTACTTTCAACATTTTGTATTTTTTTTGTTTTTATTTTTTTTCCTATTCAAATTCATATGCACGGATTATATTTAATATTGTTAATTCTTCATTTAATATAGCCAAACACTATAATATATTATATATATATATATATATATATATGAAAACTACATTTGTAGACATAATAACAAAAAAATAAGATTTGTTTGAAAGAAAAAATATTAAATTAATCTTGATAGAACATTTAACTTTTGAAATACACATATGTCGTATTAGTAAAGTAACTGAATATATTTAAAAAAAAAAAAAAAAAAAACGAAGAATTATACGACTTTAATATTAAAACAATTTTTAATACAATACAATATACTCTTTGCTTTCGAAATATTAAATCTTTTCTATACTCGTGAAACATCCTGTATATCTACAAACCTCCTATACATATATATATGTAGTAGATACATGCATATACATATTTACGAGATTCAAGTACACTAGGGTAAGGTATGAACGTGATACGTCGACTGAAGCTTACCTATACCTAAGGATTACGATATTGTTGAACTTGAGTATACGTTCTGTGTAAAGTATACTCCTTGCTCTCTCACACACACACACACACACACACAAATACACGCACACAAACTCATTTTTGCTTTCCTTTCGTTTCTTTCTCCTTCTCTATCTTATACTCGAGAACTCCGCCCCCCCCTCTACCCCCAACCAACCCTCTTGTGGTTTCAACACCTGTCATAACTATACTTTCACGGTGAATATACTTCCCTTCTTCTTCACACCATTTACAAGAAAATACGAGAAAGACAAAGACAGAATGAAAGAGACAGACAGAAACAAAATGAGATAAGGAAAATTCCCCCATCATGTTTCCTCTCGAATTGTTCGAAATTTAGGCAAACACGTACTCTCTACTTACTTGAAAAGGAGAATCGTGAGTACTCCACTGTTTAAGTTAACCGTCAAACCACCTACATACCACCGTCACATCGACAACCAAAACTATCTGGATAGGATTTCTAAGCTACCCTTGTTAGATATAATATATTTCCCTTTCTATTTCGTATATCTAACTATAATAAAATAGATAGATAATAATAATGTTAAAATAATAAAACTTAATAATTAATAATAAATAAATAAATTCTAATATAATAGAAATTAACATCTACCTGGT